ACTCAATTTCATATTTATTTTCACATTTTCACTTCGCGGTCCTTCTCTGTTCTTTTTCCGTTATTTACACGTGTAGGTCATTTCATTGTTATCCACATTTGATATCATCATTTATCACATACTGCCATGATGCTCTTGTCTGTCCGCTACAGCTGTCAAGAATTAACGCGATTGGCGAAGCGTAGTGACAGTGGACCAATAGAGAGTAGAGTGCGCGATCCTTGCCATAATGCGATTTGCGCTCCAATTTTCGTACGTGAGTTAATCAAGCCGAATAGTTTGGCCGAATATTCGGCTATTCGGCCACGCTCCTGGCCGAATATTCGGTATTCGGCCTGAGGCCGAATATACTATTCGTTGCATCACTAGTTATAAAGATTAAATTAATTGACAAAAACTTACCAGAAACCAAATATTGTAGCTATCATTTAATGTTTCTGCGCAACATTTTTTCATTTGTGTATCCATAAGAAGCTAAAAATAATAATTAAAGAAATAAACACATGAAAAAAAATCTATTTTACTTGAAAATTAATATAGTATGCTATTTTATGCCTTATATCAGTTTAATATTTTTAAATTAAAAAATAAATATTTATTTTAAAAATATACACAATGTGTTAATTTAACACAACTAACGCTTTAAAATAATAAATTATTTTTTCTTTTATTAATTTACTAATGAATTTGTAGAATTTATAATTATTATTGAAAGGAAGAAACAAAAATAATTGTCAAAAATTCACTCACTTTTATATATGTACGATTTAAACCGTCCATACAATCAAAACAAAAGTTTTCAAGATCTATGAACAAAAACTATATAAAAATCTAATGTAATATTAGTTTAGTTTCTTATATTATTTTTTAGTGTAATTATATTTTCTTTCCATTAAATACAACTCGTTACAATATAATTATATATAATAGAATTCGTCCTTATTTTTATTACGTTTTCTTATTATAAAAATAAAAATTATAATTTCAAATTTCCATTCGATTATTAATTATTTATTTAATTAATTAAGCTCGGTCTTATAAATTAGAAGAAAATTATTCGAAAAGTAAATCTAATTTTAAACAAAAATGTTTAATTTTTATTTATAGTTCTATTATTTTTAATTGTATTAAAGATATCAACAAAACCGGTTATCACAACATATAGGACTATTATAAAATATATACAGTTTATATATTTATAGTAAGCAATAACTTACCAAAATTGTTTACCTCTATATCGTTCTTCCGTTTACTATTAAAACTGTAGCCAATTTCTCGTCCCAACGTTAAAAAAATGCAGCATAGAGCTACGAGAAAAATAAAAAAAATTCGCGTATTCATAGTTACGTATGAACTAGGAAACAAAACTTTTACTTCACTTTCGAATTAATATATCAGTGCTATTTCACAACGGTTAAGCAACTGATAGCAATGATGATTCATGATCAAGTTTGTTGTATTGAAGTGAAGCAATACCCTTCGTACGTGCTGATATCTTTTCTAAAACGTTATTAACTGTCTTAAGAGTATTACAGGTTGTTTTATCGATCTTCGTTCAGAGTCACGACTAAAAAACCAGTTTTTATATTTTTCTTATTTATTATTTGAATATTAAATCGAAAAATGTATCAATATAAAATTGCATAATTTAATATCAATGCATTAATTTTTTTTTCTTTTTTTGATATACCGTATCAACTAAATAAAGATAACTAATGAAAACTTGCCATGTGTCTTCAAAATATACTGTAAAATTAGTGTTTAATAAATCAATGAACTAATGTATAAACTTAATTTATAGTTTATTTTGAAAGTGTTTTTTTTTTCATTTACTACGACATTGCTCAATTTTTTTTCTATATGACGAAAGTTTTTTTTCATGGCAATGTTATTAGAAAAAAATGTAAAATATTATTATGTGCTAACATGTAGACAATTTAATACACCAGAAATTTCTTTAGTTTGTAAAAAAAGAAAGAAAAATCTATAAGTTGCATGCAGCTTACAGATTTTTCTTTCTTTTTTCAGTTACGTTCTTGAAAATAACATTTAATTAGATAAGTGTGGACAAATTAGTTCAAGTCGTAAGTTCATATCAATCAATTCTGATTGATCAAAATCGTATTTTACTAATTTTTGTTTATAAATTTCTTTCTTTATAAATTATATATTTACAAAAGGAAACGTCACAAGACAATTAATATCCTTTCCCGAAAATAACGCCCGTAATAAAGGATTTAATATACAAATAAAGAAAAAAATCCAGCGACGATTTGCTTAACTTTCTTGGCAACATTTGGTGGCACCATCTGTTATGATATTTTATTTTAAAAAACATTTTATATTTTTAACTGTTATAAAATTGCAAAAAGCTTAATTTTGAGAGTAGGAATGTGTTTTATAAAAAAAAAATTGTAAATGTTAATAACGAGTAAAATCGTTATTAAGTCCGACCCTACTACAGATATAATATACGATCCCCTGTATCTCCCTACCTCATCGATCTTAAATTAATAATCAACATTTAATAGCATCAATCATCCTAATACACAAACCTCCTTGCAAAATTTCAGGAATTTTCGACAAAAAGCACGGGTTGTTAAGCTTCGAAGAGGGTGAACAAAATCGTGCTCCACACACTAACATCCATACATACAGAAAATTTCCCGAAGTTCACATTGTAAATAGAATAGACTAATAGAGAAAGGATCTGAAAGAAATGACAAGCCTAAAAGATGGGTAAAAAAACAAGTTCGGATACGAGTAACGCTTAGCGGTACTCTTAGATACAGCCAATCAAGACGATGGAAGTATTTATATAAAAGTAAACGATCAAAGTATTTGGGACGTTCGGTAAAACTGGAAATTCTCAATCTGGATCTAGCAACATTAACATTAGGGGTAAAAGTTTATTTACAATAAGAAAAATTTTACCTGATTCTTTTAATATTTTTTTCTAAATGGGATGAGGCAACCATAGTACAGACAATGTAACATAAGAACTAGAAATTAAAAAATTCGAAATCACCAAGTTTAATTTTACAGATTTTTAACAAAAATTTCCTAATAGATGGTGCTACAGACAATTTTAATTTTGTGTTAATATGACTCAATGGTTTTCATCAGGAACATTAAACAATTCGTCTGCGATTTTTTAAATTACTGAATAGTTATTATTTTGATTTATACAATTTACTATTATTATTATATTTAAATTACTTAAAAATAAAAATAAATAATTAATTTTGATATCCAAAATGTTGGTATGCAACTTTGTATTTGTTTTGCATCAATTAATCTTTTAAATTGTTTGAAGAAAATATTTTCTTAATTTTTTCTTTTACATTTTCTAAATTTTTACTAAAATATTAGAAAATCTTTACACTTAAAGCATTTGAAATCTTAATTTATAAATGTAATTTTGTTCACCTAAAATTAAATTAACACAGAAAAAACTCATTTAACACATTTTTATTAAACGAAAACCAACTGAAATTGTTAATTTTAATTACAGATTAAGAATTGTCATTATTTTATATTTAAAAATTAAATGAAATNTGTTTTTTAAAAAAAAATTGTAAATGTTAATAACGAGTAAAATCGTTATTAAGTCCGACCCTACTACAGATATAATATACGATCCCCTGTATCTCCCTACCTCATCGATCTTAAATTAATAATCAACATTTAATAGCATCAATCATCCTAATACACAAACCTCCTTGCAAAATTTCAGGAATTTTCGACAAAAAGCACGGGTTGTTAAGCTTCGAAGAGGGTGAACAAAATCGTGCTCCACACACTAACATCCATACATACAGAAAATTTCCCGAAGTTCACATTGTAAATAGAATAGACTAATAGAGAAAGGATCTGAAAGAAATGACAAGCCTAAAAGATGGGTAAAAAAACAAGTTCGGATACGAGTAACGCTTAGCGGTACTCTTAGATACAGCCAATCAAGACGATGGAAGTATTTATATAAAAGTAAACGATCAAAGTATTTGGGACGTTCGGTAAAACTGGAAATTCTCAATCTGGATCTAGCAACATTAACATTAGGGGTAAAAGTTTATTTACAATAAGAAAAATTTTACCTGATTCTTTTAATATTTTTTTCTAAATGGGATGAGGCAACCATAGTACAGACAATGTAACATAAGAACTAGAAATTAAAAAATTCGAAATCACCAAGTTTAATTTTACAGATTTTTAACAAAAATTTCCTAATAGATGGTGCTACAGACAATTTTAATTTTGTGTTAATATGACTCAATGGTTTTCATCAGGAACATTAAACAATTCGTCTGCGATTTTTTAAATTACTGAATAGTTATTATTTTGATTTATACAATTTACTATTATTATTATATTTAAATTACTTAAAAATAAAAATAAATAATTAATTTTGATATCCAAAATGTTGGTATGCAACTTTGTATTTGTTTTGCATCAATTAATCTTTTAAATTGTTTGAAGAAAATATTTTCTTAATTTTTTCTTTTACATTTTCTAAATTTTTACTAAAATATTAGAAAATCTTTACACTTAAAGCATTTGAAATCTTAATTTATAAATGTGATTTTGTTCACCTAAAATTAAATTAACACAGAAAAAACTCATTTAAAACATTTTTATTAAACGAAAACCAACTGAAATTGTTAATTTTAATTACAGATTAAGAATTGTCATTATTTTATATTTAAAAATTAAATGAAATATTAATTTATAGAATATAAATTTATGATATGTATATGCTGATTTCTCTTCTTAGTGTACCCTGCTTGCCTTACACATCGGGTCCAAATTTTTATCAGTGTTAACTTTACATTGTTCTTTGAAAGCTTTCTGAAATATGATTAAGAAATGCAAATTAATTGATAAAAATAAAGAATTTCAATGCGCAATTATTAAAGATTAAGGAAAATAAAATGCGAACTTACACCATACGACTGTAGAAAAGAATCATAACATTCCTCAGCAGTTTTTGGTCGGGGCTATAAAAATAAAGATTTTATAAATTGTTCTGTTGACTTAAATATTTAAATTTCGCATAAATAATTTAATTTTAAAATCTTACATCTATTCTATCCATCATATCTTTCTCAAATTGTAAAGAGTTGGGGAATATCTACAAGAAAAATTTTTTAATAAAATTAATATTAACTTTAAAGGACATTAAAAAAAATGTCATTCTTACTTTTCTCAAATAATCTAAAATTCTGCATCTAAATCCAGTTTTATAAATGCAATGCTGAATTTCCTATAAATTAAGAAAATAGTTTAAAAAATAAGCATAATAAAGTAATAATAAATATTTTATTATTACTTTACTCTTACATAAAGAAATAAAAAATATTTAGTAATAAAAGTACTTTTTCGAATGAATAATAACATATCAGTTAAATTCACATCATTTAAAGCAAATATTGTTTAAATTCTCTAAAAAAATTACATTCATTGTTTTCATCGTTTGGGAGTTATTTCATCTATTTCTTTTTGAAGGTATAATAAAACAAGGTGGAGAAAAATTAGTATGTAAGACTGACATAAACGAAACCAGATGTGTAAAGCTTCGGGACACGAGACCCCGATTAACTGTATACGAACTTCCGATTTCCAGTGAAAGTTATGTTATTTCAATTCAAAATTTCGATAGGTGTTAGATAGATAACCGACACGATTCTATTGTTAGAAGAAAAGTACGAAATACAGGGACAAGACACTACTAATTTGAGGTGGAGAGCATATATTTTTTTTAGTTAAATGATTTTTAAGAAATAAATTATTCGTTTAGTGAGATTGAATTTAAATTGTTTAAATAGATTTTCTTTGCTATACACTTTATTTAGTTTATATATATATATATATATATATATATCTTATAAAACTGATTATATAGATAGAATACTTGATAGTGGTGTCAAGTCTTATGACATTCTGAAGTCAATGCATAAATACCAAACACACTGTTTTATTTTATATTTGTTTCTTTGGAAATACGATTTTGCTACTTAGAGATGAAACTGATGACCAATTTTAAAGATTTCATATGTTTTACTAGTAACATCAGTTAAAACTACCGAATAAATTTACAAATTGGCGCCGCCATTTGTAATAAATAGAGAGATCTGGAACAGTTTAGGTTTTGTAATGTATGCAATTGGTTTATAATAATTATATTCACTGAAGGGGAGCCAACAATTCGAGAAGTTGCCTGGATATTGATATGAATTGTTTGGAATATTGTATATTTAATAAAGGCTCGAATAACCGATTGAGTCATAAAATCAGTTTACTGAATTACGTTAACGCAAATATTTAAACACTTTTGTCGTGTTTGTGTGTTATTGGTGTACTGTACGTGTCTGTGTTAAAACATTCTTGACTATATTACGTACAAAATATTCAATACTGATGCTTTCTGTAGTGCAATGATTGTAGACTTTTATGTTAGGGTATAATGGTACAAAACCTGTGATATTATCATTATTTATAAATTTTTTATTATTATTTATTTTGTTGATTTTAATATTTTGCACTTATTTTGCTCAAAATTAGACCTATATTTAATATTTAAATTATAAAATAACTATGGAATTCAAAATAAAATATTATTTATAATGTCTAAATTTATATAAAACTTACTTTGATAGTCTGCCTACTCAAGCAAAAGTGGAATGTCTAAAAAAAATTAAATTATGATTAAGAAATATTTATTCTTCAATTTATTATAACAATTTAATTATGAAACATTACATTAAATATATTTAATATTTAATATTAGAGAATTATTTATCATAAATGTTAATTCAGATATTTAAGAGTGCGCTAAAACATCAAGACTATAAGACTTTAAGTGAATTTCATATTAATAAAGTAAAATGAAACTTTTATGATAATTATTCTATACTGTATATGTTTATATCGTTAAAAAAAAAATTGGGATAGATTCGAGGGATCGAAACTGTGAGTTAAGTGTCGGTGAGGTCGGAAAGGTTAGTGACCGCTGTAATGTATAAATATATATAAAATATCCTATTAACATTAACCAAAGTCTATTAACCGAGATGCTATATTTTCAAATGCATTAAAACTATCTTAAAATATACTTCGATTAATTGACTTTTGGGCCACCGTGTGATTATATAAATTATTTTAAGATGGTTTAGTATTGTTCTAAAATTAAGTATTTTTCAACTCGTAGTATAAAATATATACTTATACATTTTATAATTACAGTACTGAACTACAGTAACATAATTATACTTGTACAGTAGATCCCCCTATAAGACGTGTTCCTGTAATTACGATTACTATAAGACGGCGAAAAAATTGTGGCGGTATCCGTAAACAACGGTAAAAAACTCCTATAATTACGTAAAACGTCATCGGGCAGCCGAACTACTTTCCGCCGTCCAGCGCCACGCTACGGACAGTTTAGGCGGGTAAATTGAGTTTAGTATCGTCTGTACATATAATTATATATAAATTATATATAAATTAGGTACTGTATATATAATTATATATTAACTTAATTTATTGTAACTTTATTATAAATAATTAT